AAGCAAGACACCTGACCCTGGTGTGGAGCAGTGGAGCCAGACGGCCTCACTGTGTGGCCTAAGGAGTAATGTTAGGGACCCAGCTAGACAAGGTGAGGGAGCCTGGAGGAGAATCGATGTTTTTAGGACTGCATAGGCTCTCCTCTGCTCCTGGATGAAGATGACGAGCATGGTAGGGGTCTATTTCATTGACTCTGAGCATCCTGCCTGTCTTGGTATAGGGGGCTTGAGTTTGTCCTCACTGAATTTGGGAAAACAAAACCACAGATGCCCTGAGTGTTTTGGGTATTTAATCCACACCTGTCATAGTAAAAGGTAATAGGGTCTTGATTTAGGAAAAAAAAATATCAAGAAAAAATGGTGTAGATAGCAAAGCCTCATGATAAGAAATCAAAATTTGATTTATAATTTATCCTCATTTTAGAACAAAAAACTCTAATTAGAGAAATGAAACATCTTTTGTCCTAGAAGGAAATATGTCTAATGTGAATCCCTTCACATGCACCTGTACACCCCCAAGCCAAGCCCTGAAGGTTCAGGAACAGCAGTCTCAGAGCTGGTGGTTCAGTGTGAACAGACTACTGACCCCAGCATCTCACCTCCTTTCTCCAGTTCCTTCCACAAACAACATGCAGGTCCACGGATTTCAGTTGTGCACATTTCCCAGCGCTGCTTGCCGGCAACCTCCCAAGTCCGCTTTTAAAGGTCACCCAAGTTTGTTCTAAATAGAGTTAACTGTGAACTCTGATTCAGCGCTTTTCTGAGGTCTGTCAAGTCACGCCTCCCCAGGACCTGTCTTCCAAGCCCCGCCCCCTGGACTCCGCCTCCTAAGCCGTGCCTCCCTGGACCAGCCCGTCAAGCCACGCCTTCCCAGGTCCTGTCTCTCAACTTCCTGCCTCCCTGGATCACGCCTCCAAAGCCCCGCCTCTCTTAGGCCATGCTTCCAGGGGCCCAGCCTCAGAGCATCTTTTGGCTGGAGCAGCTGATAGGAGGTGCCGCTGTTTTCTGCTTTGTGGTCCCGTGTGAATCATCATGCCCCTGTTGCTAATGCAGATGGGCCCTAACAACCATCGTCCAGTTGAAAGATTTGCTTCTCACTGAGTGACACGTCATTGATGCCACAGAGTTCTTTTACCTTGTAAAGCAAGCAGGAGAGGGTAGGTAGGCTTGGAATCTTCACTGGGACCAAAACAGTTTGTTTCAAGTGTAAGACGTCATTTTTTCAGTAAGGTGTGGTGACCCAGGTGCATGCAATTGTCACAGCTCATTAACTGCACCTATAAGCAACATCTTTTATTGAATGTAAATTATATCTGAATTAAAAAGGAAACTAACAAAAACCAGGATACAAGGCCAGTGAAGACGACCAGGGGCTCCTGAGAGTCATTAGTCCTCATGGGAGAAGAGGTGAAAACAGGGAGGAAGTGCGGTGGAAGAATGCATCATCTCAATGAGATAACAAGGAAACCTCAAACAAACCCCAAATGAGGAAGGGTCTATTCATCAGAAGGGAGGCAGCATACTCTTAAAAAATGCCTGTGTCATTAAAAGCAAAGAAAAGCTGTAGAAATGATCCAAGTTAAGGAATCTGGGGGCGCCTGACTGGCTCAGTAGGTGGAATGTGTAGACACTTGAGTTTGGGGTTGTGGGTTGAAGCCCCATATTGGGTGTAAAGTTTACTAAAAACAAAAATAAAGGAAGCTTAAGAGTCATGACAACTAAATGCAGTGCCTGGTTAGACAAGATCCTGCCCTTGGGAGAGAAGGAATGCCATACAGGTCAATATGAGATCAAGTGATAACTTGAGTATAGACAGTATATTAGGTAAAGGTATTGTGAATATAGATTATGACTCTGATTATTGTAGCAGGTAGGACAATATTCCTATTCTTAGAAAACACATACTGAAGCATTTAGGAGTAAAAGGCCATTTTGTATCTAACCCTGAAATGGCTCAGAGAATAATTTCATGTATGTATGTGTGAAAAAAATATATACATGTATGTACAAAAGAATTTCCTCATTGCTTACCTTGGGGAAAAGAGTGAAAAAAGTACAAGTTTGGGTCTTGTTGACAATGCCGGTTCAAAGTTTGTCAAGTGTTTTTCCAACATTGGCACCTCTAAACAAGGAAGATTTTTATCCAACATCTCCTATCAGTAACTCCTGGAAGCCACATCATACCCGTAGCTGATTCATGAAACCTTTCATTCCGGGTCAGGTCACTGTTACCTGGAGAAGAACACAGCCCAGGCAAAGTTTATGCACTGGGACAGGGGCATCTGTTCAGTGATAAGGGAGGGGAGGGGAGAGGAGGAAGGGGGAGAGAGAGAGAGAGCACACAAACCATACATTTTACAAATGAGGTAAGATGTTAACAATAGGTGAATCTGGGTAAAGGATATAGAAAGGTGTTCTTTGTACAGTTTTTCTTTTTTGCACTTTTTTTTTTTACAAATTTGAAATTTTTTCCAGATAAGTGTGTGTGTGTTTGTGTGTGTGTGTGTGTGTGTGTGTGTGCGCGCGCTTTACCATTGGTGATGAGGGAGCTGGAAAGAGTTCCAAGGCCTTTGCAGCATCAACTGGTGTCCAGAAGGCATTGGCTGCTGACTCAGATTCGTGTCAGTATTCCAGGTGATGGTAGTCACCATGGCAATTATATTGCTTTCATAGTCATAAATGGATATTTCTCAAGCAATAAAAGCTAGGTTGCTTATGTTACAAACCTGGGAGAATATATGAGAGAATTTCCTTATTGCTTATTCTGAGAAGAAAAGGAAAAATGTTCAGGTGTTTTGTTGACAAGGCATGCTGGAGGTTGGGCAAGTATTTTTTTTAAACATCTATACCTCTAAACAAGCAGAATATTATCAGGACACGCTCCTTCAATCAGTAACTTCTGAAAGCCATATCATACCTTCAGTTGATTCATGAAAACCTTGACTCCTGGGTCAGGTCACTGTTATTTGGACATAAGCATGACACAGGTACAGTTTATATGTTGGGACATTTACATCTGTTCTGTTTCATACCAAAATTTCCCAGGATGACCCTAGCAGCATTATAGTGGATTTAGGAAAGGAAGGGGTGTCCAGTGACCTCTCAGTGGGCTTCCAAAGACCATAGTGTCTGACTTTGCTCTGAGCTCAGTGGACCCTTTGCCCCCAAAAGTGGCCACAACCCCTGCTCACTCCCTGGGGGATCTGCTATGAAAGTGGATGGGACTCTGCCTCCTGCCCACACTGTAGTTGGCCAAGCACACATGACAGTGATTATGACCCTCTTCCCCCCCACACAAAAAGAAAATGTGGGATTCATTTGTTCAAGCACACTTCCCAGGCAGATGGGAAGTTCCCCCTGTACCCCACCTCCTTCTGGGAGGGGTAAAAGGACAGGTCGCACCTGATTCTCAAATCTGCAGTTTGGACTCTGGAATCATGAAGCTGAGTATTTTCTCTCAACCGTTCATCTGATAAAGATGGGACTATTTGGGGAGCTTAGAAATTCAACTGTGTAATGAACGTTGCTGCCTCTTTGTCCACGTGTGTAAAACCAAACTGAGGTGCCACCTTCGGGGAACTAAACCCAGGTGGCAAAATAGGTGTGTGTCACAGGCAGGCTTTCATTCTGTGTCCTTCCTGGTCCTGCCATGTGAGTTCTTCAAGAAGAGAGTGTTGAGAATAAGAGTCCACTTTATCTGCAGCGGGTCTGGGAGTCCTCTCTGGTCCTGAAGCAAAGCTGAGCCAAAGGGTCCGTGGGAGGGGAGATGAGCATCAGAGATGGAGACGGGAGAGCCAGCTGGAAGGGTTATATGGAAGAGACGGAGTCGCTGCTTGCTGGCTGCATACAGCCCTAGAAGAAGCTAGGGACACCATACCCCCTAATCTGCCAGTAGACACCCCAGAGGTAGACAAGGAGATAGTGGCCCTGTGCCCCTGGACTTTGAGGAGCCAGTGGCATCGGGGCTGCCCTCCAGCTGTTGCAGGGCATGGCCTGACCAGGGCTGGAGTTACAGAATGTTTGGCCCTCCAGCCCCTGTATCCTGCCCCCTACTTATGCCAGTCGCCTCAGTCTCAGTAATAATCTGTTGATAACTTATTCCACTGCTACAATGTACCTGAGCACTTTATAGGTGTTACCTTATTTATGTTCACCTGTTATCTTTTTTCCTTTAAAATATTTTTCAGCTTTATTGGGATATAATTAACATTGATATAAATAACACTGCGTAGGTTTAATATACATGTGCATTTGTTGAATGGTTACCAAAGTGAGGTTAGCTAACATGTTCATCGTGTCATATAGTTACCGTTTGTGTTTGTGAATTGAGAACTCTCAAGATTTACTCTCTTGGCAACTTTGTATACAATAAATATTGGCCTGTTCTCTTTTTAAAGATAAGGAACCAAAGGCTGACAAAAGGTAGCTTACCAAGGTTGAAAGGTTTTTAAGTAGTGGGTTCAGGATTTGGAACCAGAATAGTCTGGGTCCAAAATCCCTTATGCTCTTTTACCACACTGTGCACAAGTACACACACCCACACCCATAGACAACACACACACACACACACACACACACACACACACACACACACACACACAGAGTATATGGGACTTTGCAACCTCTTTTTTAAGAGGGAGCTTGGTACAACTTGTCATATTTGATCCTAGACAGTCTGCAGTCCCTGCTGCTTACAAAGACATAGTGATGGTTGACCAGAAACCTCTGGACGTCCTATGGCAGCTGGTACTTTATCCCCTGGCAGGCATTGTCTCCAATCTGGCTACACATGTTGGCAGGGGCTTTCTGCTGGGACTTGAGAATCTTGGTTTGAGCTGCCAAGGTCAGCAGTTTTGGTAAAAACCAACAGGCCATGTGAGTGGAAACTGTCAGTGGGCTGGGCTGGGTCCGGTGCCGGAGAACAGCCAGTCTCATGACCTCAGGTCGCTTGCCATCTTCTCCTCCCTGTCTTTGCAGCCAACCTTGGTTTGAGACCCAGGGCGATGACTCTTGGGAAGCCACCAGTCTACCAGGGGCCTGTGGATTGCATTGCAACCATCGTGCGGACCGAGGGCCTGGCAGGGATGTACCGGGGTGTTGGCGCCATGCTGCTGAGGGATGTCCCGGGCTATTGCCTCTACTTCATCCCCTATGTGTTCCTGAATGACTGGATCACACCCGAGGCCTGCACAGGCCCCAGCCTCTGTGCTGTGTGGCTGGCAGGCGGCATGGCAGGTAAGGGCAGCCGTACTGACCCCTGCACTTGTGCTGATCCCCTGTATTGGGAAGGCTGGGGAGCCCATCATGCCCTTCTCTGCCCCAGGGAAGGGCACGGTTCACCTAGCTACTCATCCAGTGAGTATTTGGTAAGCACCTGCTATATGCCAGACCTAGCCAAACAAAGGAAGGGCTGGGAATAGAGAATGGTCTCCCTCTTTTCCGCATCTCCTTCCCTCTGGACCTATGAGAACAGCAAGTCCCTATTTGGGATCGTTGAACCTTCGGTCAGAAGATATATTCTCCCCTTTCATTCTGGGTCAGGTCTCCTTGAGCTCTGAAAAGGAAATCTGTTATCATGGTTCACCTTTTTTCAATGTCGGCACATAGCAAACCTTTCTAATGTGAGCATTTCATTAGCTCTGTAAGGGAGGAATCAGTCTCCCCATTTGTCAGATGAGAAAACCGAGGTTCAGAGAGACTAGGTGACCCACCCAAGGGCACACAGCTAGTGCATGCAGACAGTACAGCAGGGACTCTGTAGTCAGTGAGATCCCAGTTCAAATCCACACTTAATCAGCTTGTGACCATGGACTGGTTTCTTCACCCCCCTTCTCAGAACTCATACAGCATCCCCATTTCCTTTAGGGTAAAAATCAATGTTCCCGCAGTGGTTTTCAGTCCCTTTATGATCCAGCTGTCTCTTGCCCGTCTGCACTCAGCTCCTGCTCTTGCCCCTGTACGTGCTCTGCTTCAGCCACGCTGGTCTCCTTGCTACGGCATGACCGTGCCTGGGTCCTCCCCACCACGAGGCCTTTGCACCTGCTGTTCCTGCTGCCTGGATTTAGCCATATGTAGGTCATCAGGGACTGTGACAAGACCCATGTTGGTGAAGGGTGTGAACACCCAATTGAGAGATCGGGAGAGAAGGGGATGGAAGAAACAGGACAGTCCAAGTACACACGACACCTCTGAGGGGCTTGGTGGTGCTGTGAGGGGGACGGGGACGAGAGGTATGCAGCTAGAGCCAGAGCAGGGTGTGGAAGCCAACAGGGGTTGCTTCTTAAGAAGGCTGAAAACGTGGCATGTGTGATGCTGTGGGGAAAGGTCTGGAAAGAAGAAAATCGTCGTTGCTCCTCCACTTCCTGCTTCTCCTCCCCCTCCTCCTCATTAGCTATGCTCAAAACTCAGCAAACACGTAACAAAGTCCGTGTCTTAGCCACCAAACACCAGTGTCCAGCCCGCTGCCCCCGTGTGTCTGTGGCCTGGCCAGAGCTAGCTCCTAGTAAGGGCTTAGTAAGCACTTGCCGATGGAGGACAAACAAGACCCCATCCACTCTCATTTCTGCTGAGAGCAGGTATGAGGGGCCTGGTAGGCAGACCTCACTTTGTAATACCCTTGCCCATGGGCTAAGGAGCCAGGGAATATGCCAGGGCAGCACCTGGACAGACTCCAGGAGAATCAGCTTTGTTATTCTGGCAGGAGTCAAGAGGAAGGGGAGGTCCAGAGGGTTCCCAGAGGGTCACGGGCAGGAGGCCATGGGGGTTGGAGGCTGGGATGGGCAGAGGGCCCAGGGCAGGCTAGGACCGCTTTTGGGAGCTCCTGGGCAGCAATTACAAAACCTTGCAAACAGCTGCCTTGGACTTTGGCATCAGTTTGTTTTTCTCTTCCTGTCCAAAAATGTGCCAATTTCTGTGTTTATACAATAACCTGGCATTGTTTTCCTAGAGTCCTTTCAAGTCACAAAGGTGCTCAAACTGGGGCACCTGAGTTTCTCCACCAATGATGAGCCAGGCTTGTGTGGTCCCAAGGCCTCTATGTCACACCTCTGGAAAAGTCACAAGATTTCTAAAGACCTGCCCCTGCTCTTTTCCATCTCTGGGCTGGTCTCTCCCTGGCAAGCAGCCTCCCTGCAAGTGTTTGTTTAGCTTCTCTGTATGCAGAGTTGCTTCTGTCTCTGGGGAGCTACAAGCCTTCAGCCTCAGGCGTCGCTCTGGGCTCTCACCCTTGGTGTCCTGGAAGGGCGCTGCAGAGTATTGGTGGGGCCTGTTCCTGCTTCTCCAGTAAAAGCTGCTAATAAAGGCATCCACTTAGGAAGCTCTGGCTGTGGGCCTGGCTCTGTGCTAGACGTTCACGTGCATCCGTTTATTTGTCCTCACAGTAACCCCATGAAGATGGGTGCTGGTGCCCCACTTTACAGATGGCAGACCCAAGGCCTGGAGGAAGAGACTTCTGTAAAGTCCCACACACAGCAAGTGATGAGTGAGGTTCAGAGAAACCTTTGCAGCTCCTGACTGAACTCTTTCCACTTCCCCCAGCAGCTTGTTAAGCCTGTTAGTGGTGGAAATGGGCAGGGAGCCACGTCCCCTCCAGATCCCAACCAGCCAGTCCCTGACACTTGTTTGTCTCTCTCTTTACAGGAGCAATTTCTTGGGGGACAGCGACTCCTATGGATGTCGTGAAAAGTCGACTCCAAGCTGATGGGGTTTATTTAAACAAATACAAAGGTGTCCTGGATTGTATCTCCCAGAGTTACCAGAAGGAAGGTCTTAAAGTAAGCCCCACAGTAGTCATACGGGGTCAGTGTCAGTCCCTGGAAGGTGGGCCAGACGTTTGGGGGGTATATGAGGTTACAGAGAGGGGAATCAGGAAACTAAAGTGCTCACAGTTACTATATCAAGCACGACTTGAGATTCTTGTCTCATTTAGTCCTTGCCCCAGGCTGGTGGAGGAGACAGAGGTTCAGAGAGGACTAGTAACCTACCTGAGGTCACACAGCTGGTGCATGGCAGAGCCAGGGCCTAGACCCACATCTGTGTGTCACCAAAGCTTCTCTTTCATAGGGATAGGCTGAGAGCTGCTTCCTCACTCACTGCTCAGTGCCTCACTCTCCTGCAAGCTGGGGGCCCCAGAGCTACCTGAGTCATCACATCTCCCAGTGTCTGGTCACTTGGTCTGTCTTCTCTCTCATCCCACTTGAGTCCTTACACCATCACCTCTGGTCTCAACTATGAGGCAGCCTCCAACATGGCCTTGTCTCCCTTCTCTTTCCTCTTCCCTGCACCCAAAGGGCTCATTTAAATCCATGCCTCTTCCAGTCAGCAGACTCGAGTTTAAAGGCAGCCTGGCAGCCTGAGCTGGGGGGAACATCCAGGCAAGTTGCTTCACTGCTCAGCCTCTGTTTTTCCAAGGATAATCATCCCTACCGTGAACAAGAGGGATATTTGTCAGTGAAATACAAAAAGTGCCTAGCTTCGTGCATAACACAGTATATTTAAGAAGAGCTACTTGTCATTGGCTTTAGTATTAGTTTAATTAGTGCAAATGTCACTACTGAGCATTGGGTCTTTGCTTATATGTGTCGCATCCCCAAATATATGCATACGTATATATGTATATATGTATGTGTATGTATGTGGATGGATAGATAATTTTTTTTTTTTTTGCTTCAATGGAGTACTGGAACTTCTCTGGAAACCTGGACTTCCACAAAGCCTCTTTTGTCTGCACATACATCTACATGTACATGTATATGTATGCATACACAGACACACACACACACATATATACACACATATACTCACATATATATACATATATGTATATATATGTGTGTATATATGTATACGTGTATGTATATATACGTGTATGTATATATATATATGTATATTTGGCTTCAGTGGAGTGCTGGAACTTCTCTGGAAACCTGGACTTCCACAAAGGCTCTCGTCAGTAGGTGACTAACCAAGGCAGTGTTCTCCAGGTGCTCCCAGACAGCAACTGAGGGGGCTGGAGCCAGGTCATACATAGGCTGCTGCAGGTTCCACTGGCAGTACTGAGGTCTGTCTGCCTAGTACCTGATACACAGAGGGACAGGACTCTGGGGTACTTGACATGTGATCCTGGATCCCATGACTCCCTCAGAGGCACCTGTCTTTGTGGATGGATGTCCAGTTTTTGTTGTTGAGGTGGGGTCAACACAGGGACGTCTTGTACTGCCATGATACTGACATTACTCTATGTATTTACTTTTATTGAGGTCTTTATATCTTCATACAGCTTCAAGTTACTCTCTAGTGCCATTTCATTTCACTCTCCAGGACACCTTTGAACATTTCTTGCAGGGTAGGTCTTGTGATAATGAACTCCTTCAGCTTTTGTTTATCTGAGAATGTCGTAATTTCTCCCTCAGTCTTGAAGGATAGTTTTGCTGGATATAGGATTCTTGATTGACTGTTTTTTCTTCTTTTAACACTGGATATGTTGACCTACTGCCTTCTTGTCTTTCAAGTTTCTAATTAATAATCTGCTGGTAAACTTATTGAGGATTCTTTGTATGTAATGAGTTCCTTCTATCTTCCTGTTTTTAAAAGTTTGATTATAATGTGTCTTGGCTTGGATCTCCTTAAGTTTATTTTGCTTGGAGTTGGTTAAGCTTCTTTGATGTTTATATTCATGTCTTTCATCAAATTTAAGAAGTTTTTAGGAAGTAATTTAGGAAGTTTTTGGCCTTTATTAAGCAAGTTTTTAGCCTTTATTACTCCAAATATTCTCTGCCCCTGTCTCCTTTTGCTTTCTGGGATGTCCACAATGCATGTATTGGTTTGTTTGATAGTTTCCCACAGATCCCTTAGGCTGTTTTCACTGTTCTTCAATCTTGTTTCTATTTCTCAAACTCAGTAATTTCCATTGTCTTATTTTTAAGTTTGCTAATTCTTTTTTCTGCCTGCTCAAATATACCTTTGAATCCTTATTGTGAATTTTTCATTCCAGTTATTGTATTTTCAGCTGCAGAATTTTTGTGTTTTTTTTTCTGGGTTTTCTATTTCATATTGATGTTTTTGTTTCTGTTCATATATTATTTTCTTGGTTCTCTCTACATTTTCGTATAGTCTTCAAGCATCTTTAAGACCCTTGCTCTAAAGTCTTTGTCATGTAAATCTGCTGTCAGGTCTTTTTCAGGGACAATGTCTCTTGACTTATTTTTTCTTCTTCTTTAAATGGACCATACTTTCCTGTTTCCTTTGAGGCCTTGTTATTTTTTATTGGAAACCTGACATTTGAATCTAATAATGGGTTAACTGGAAATCAGATTTGGTGTCTTTTGTTATTATTTTTGTTGATTGTTACATTTTTGTAATTGTTTTAGGCAGTCTCTATGCCAAAGATCAGCCTGAAATGTAAACTCGAGGTCTTTTCAGGTCTTTTCTGAGCCTTTCTTTGGGTATGCACGGTTACTTTCTAATTTTCCCCATACATGCAGTTCCTTTTTAATGTCATAGTCTTTAATGTCTATCTCCCAAAGAGGAAAAAGAGAAAAACCAAGGGGGAAAGGGTCATCAGCCAGAGGAGGAAGGGTTTGCATCAGTGAAACAATAATGACTACCTCCCTGTTTACACCTCTGTGATCAGAAGCAGCAGTCAGTGATCAAAACATAGATCTCTAATATTTGGAGAACAGGGTCCTTATTGCCCACTCTGGCTTCCAAAAGCTATGTGTGCAGGTTGCTCCTCCAGCATAAATCCAGCTGCCTGCCACAGGTCTGGGGGGTGAGGGAAGGGTAGCTGCTACCTTGCTAAGAGCTAAAATTGACTGCACTTAACCATATTTACTGTGCAAACCTTCTCCTGGAAGTTGTAAGGATTCGCCAAACTGTAGAATTTCAAAAAAGTTACATCAGACAGATTCCATCAGTGCAAATTTTATCTAGGTAAGGAAACAGTTGGCTGGCATTTCCTATTCTGCCACCTTCCTAGAATCCTCACCTCACTTGTCTTTTGTATTATTTTAGTAGAAGCACAGTTTGTGATTCAGTCAACTACAGAGGGACACATAAGAGACATTCACATAGGATGCTTCTTTATTTGAGATACTTTGTCTGCTATTATTAATGTTTCAAAAAATTCAAGTTAATGTATCAAAATATTAATGTTATAATTCTATAAAGTCTATAGAGGCTAAATATATTGCTGATATTATTTCCTCCAAAAATTACTGTGCTCTGTTAAAAACAAAGTCTGGGAAGGCAGCTGAGGTCAGATTATAGATTTCTTAATCTCAGTAGCATTTGGTTCAGTTTATATTCAGAGACAGGTTTTAAACAGAGGCAGCCATATTTAGCTTGATTAACCACTCATTGACTGAAATTAATTTTTTTTAATTTTTATTAGTTCATTTAAAAAATGAATAATATATGAACATAGGAAGCTTCAAAAGGTAAAAGATGATATACTGTCTAAATGTCCCTCCTTGGTCTTCAGTCTTCTCTCAAAGATAATCACTGATATGAGTTTCTTACAATATATCCCAAAAATAGTCACAGCCAGTGTGAGAATATATGTGGATAGGTATATTTATATATGTTTGTATTATGTGTTTGCATATAAACAGAAATCGTAACATGAAGAAAACATCCCACACAGTCCTGGACAGTTGGGTTGTCTCACAACCAGATTTCTGGCAGCAAGAGGAATGACTTTTCCTGGGGCCTAAGGGGTGTCCCCAGTGACAGATGGCTGTAACACTGGCTCTATGGGCCACCCACTCCCAAATAGTTTTTACTGCCACTCACTGAGGCATGGTAAGCCAGCCTGTTCCCATTTTACCATGGAAGAAGAACTCAGTGAAAATAAAGAATTAGAATGGAGTAAAATCATGATGACGGTACCCATATCTGGTAGTTCTTTGTAACTCACTTAATGACTACCAGTAAAGCATTCCCTTTTTGATAAAGGGAATTAGAAGTCTAGGACTTAGGGGGCATTCCCAAATCAAAAAAGAAAGCTCTGGAAGTAGACTTTTGGGTCTACTCTGCCTGCTGTGATGATTGTCATGGGCCACATGGGCCGTTGCTCACACTTGGAGAGCTACCATCTGAAATAAGGAGGCCAGAGGAGTGACTTGGCATCTTTGAGCTGCACAGAGAGGGCTGTTGTTGAGGGGGTTTGTGATAGTGGATTGAGAGAGGTGGAGGAGGAATATTTAGGCAGTCTCTATGCCTCCCTAAGGAGAGGTGGAGAGGAATATTTGTAGGAAGAGAAGTTTCCTGAGGCACCAGAGTTGATTGCCCTTTGGTTCTGCCATCTGGGGACTGGAACCCTCCCTCCACTCTAGGAATCCCTCACTACCACTACCACCACCAGCCCTCTTTCAGCTTGGAACTGTTTCCTTTTCACAACAAGGAATTTGTTCATTCATTCGTGTGTCCATCCATCCATTCATCCATCCACTGATTCATTTATTGAGACTTATAACAGACCCTCTGGGCCAAGAAAAGCATTTGACGCTGGGAGTTCCAAGGTGTAGATGCTGAGGGTTCCAAGGTGTGGATGCTGAGCGTTCTTAGGTATAGATTCTGGGGGTTCCAAGGTGTAGATTGGGGCTCCAAGGTGTGGATGCTGAGGGTTCCCAGGTATAGATGCTGGGGGTTCTGAAGTGTAGATGCTGGAGTATAGATGATAAGTTCTGAAGCAAACCACACCATAGCCCTGCTCTCACTGCCCTGACTGGGATTATTAATGGGGGTACAGACAAATTACGGGTGGTTAGGGACAGTGTGAGAAGTGTTGTGACAGCAGAGATGCTGAGTGCACAGAAGACAACGGGCCACAGTCCAGCTTGGGGTGCCCATGGGAAGACTGCTAGAGGTATAGCCAGGTTTGGGGAACATTCCAGCAGAGGGAGCAGAAGATACCCAGTGGTGGGAAAGAGCTGGCTCCTTAGAGGAATGACAGGCTGTTAACCTATCCAGAATGTCAGGTATAAGAGGCAGCCCAGATAAAGTGCAGGGCCAGAGCAAAGGGGTCTTGTCAGGCCAGAAAAGGGTGTAGACTTGACACTGGGCAGTGTGGAACTATTGAGGCTTCATGAGGACTCAGTCTGGTGGTTTTGTATTCAGAAAGCTTGGGATAAAAGCCACCAGGTGTGTGCTTTGCCATCTTCGGGCCTTACAGCAGGGCAAACCATGGCTGCTGGAGGGAGGTCATGTCCATATGTCTGAAGAGTCCCATGGTTCCTTCAGGGCCCAGCACTGTGGGAGAGGAGATCCACATTCCAAGCTGGGCCCTGCCTGGCTCAGCCTCACAGAACAGAGTCAAGCCCAGGCCCACAGGGGAGTGTCTGTTGCACCCAGCATGGAATTTTCCTCTCGGAGCTCGAGCCAGTTCCTTGCTGTTATTCAGTCACTGTGGGTGAGCTTGGGGAATTCCAGAAAGGTTAGATGTCAAAGAGTAGCCCTGATGTTAAAGGGTCCTCCTTGCCTTATGCCTGCATCACTCCAGGGTTTGGCTCAGCCACTTGCTTACCTGTGGGGGTCCTTGTCCATCACCTCCCTTCTCTGTGAGGGTCAAAGCTTCCCCCAAGTTCACAGAAGCCATTCTCTCCCCTTCACAACCAAGCTACATCTTGCAGGCTGCCATGGAAGGCCAAGGTGCAGGTGCCTCTCCTGCAGAAACACATCCTGACATCCTGACCAATGACAGAGGCCTGTACCTACCCTGAAACCACAGTGCCTGACAGCTGAGAAAACTGGGGAAATATAAAAGGGCTGGATTTCTCCTTCCATAAAATTACAGTATCAGTTTTATTTATTACACTTGGTAAATATACAGGGGTCAGATAACAGCTTTATATCATAGGCTTGACAGTTCTTAGGTCCTTTACATTTGAGTAGGGCTTCCTTTAGATGTGTTGTCTAGGGAAGACATTTAAGGACCACTCCTCCCCACCGCACCCCTCACCAAATCCCTTAGCTGTTCTCATCACATTCTAGATTATATTGTAATTATTCCCAAATGGGGCCTATCTCCCCGCCCCCAGGAGGTTTTAAACTAGGCAAGGGCTGGAACTACATCACACTGATCAGATCTACTCAATGGGAAGATTCAGGGAGGAAGTGAAGTATCTTATCATATGCCCTAGGGATGGAATACAAATACCCTGTTTTTGTATAAAAGGCTGAGTTAAGCAACTCATCAGTACAGGCCAGGCCAGGACTCCTCCGCACTTGTACTAATGATCTAAGGCTGAGTGCCACCCTGTGTAAAGATGGCTACTGATGATGATGATGATGATGATGATGATGATGATGGAGATAGTCAACAGGTCCATGGCAGGTACTGTACAAGCGCTTTAAGAGCTTCTTCTCGTTTATTCCCTCAACAGCCATATCAAGTCAATAGTATTACCCCCATTTTATAGCTGGGAAGTTGAGTTCTAGAGACTTTGCTACTTGCCCAAGCAAGAGCTATTAAATGGCAAAGCTGTGTCTCAACTTCATGCCTAGTGTCTGAAAAGTATGGCCTGAGTTCTTCCCCACTCTGCCTCTTGGGGGACATCCTGTCAAAATGGTCTGACTGGGTGCTCTGTCTACCATTGCAGAGTGAGTGGAGTGCAGAGCTTGGATTTCCAGGTTCCAGAGAAGTGTGTGTGTGTGTGTGTGTGTGTACGCATGTGTGCGTGCACATGTGTGGGGGTACATACATGAGAAATAGCAGCAATTAAACAAGTGTATGTGGGTGTTCATGGTCAGCAGCTTGCCCACAGTATTTAGTTGTATGTGTACCAGGCCTGGGAGGAGAAACCCCATCAGAGGTGACATGGGTTAAGACAGGAGCATGACTAGGGGCATCCGGGGTGGTTTTGGCTTGTAAGGGCCCTTTGGGCTCTGTGGGGTCCAGCCTGGGACAAGTGGGCAGCATCCCCAGCCTCTCTGCACCTGCAGAGGGTCCAGGTCAGTCCCCTGTGATAACGTTACCTTCTGCCAAAGGTGTTTTTCAGAGGCATCACTGTGAACGCTGTGCGCGGCTTCCCCATGAGCGCCGCCATGTTCCTCGGGTATGAGTTCTCGCTGCAGGCAATCCGCGGGGACCACGCCGTGACTAGCCCCTGAGCGCCAGGTCAGTGTGCTTCCTTCCCAGCCCGTTGTACCTCCTGGGAGCTTGACACTGTCTTCTTTGCCATGAACACGTTGTGACTTTCTGAAACATCCCTGCCATTTGTTTCCTCTCTGATCCGTGTGAGTTCTGGGGCTACAGTGGCCAACCTTCTTGTCATCAAAAAGCCCTTCTGAAATTCTCGCCTGTGACTGGTGGTGAGCTGGGTGCTCGCGAACTGAGATGGGCACAGAATTTCCCTGTTTATAGTAAGGTCGCCCATCTGTTTTCCCATCCAGCAGCTTCAACAACCCTTGAAGGGAAGTGTGTTTCACTTTATTATACAAATTCAGTGGCCCAGGCCCAGAAGTGAGGCCTTAAGTTAGAGTGTCCACCCCCTGCCACAGGGCACCATCTCTCCATCTTCCTACTGGACTCAGATCGTGAGTCTGAGAGCCAGCGACGGGCTCCCACAGCCCTGGAGGACAGCCTCTGTCCTTGTTTCCTGCCTCCCCCCTCTTTCTTTCTCCCCCTCTCATTGCAGAAAGATCACTACAGCCCAAGGGATCTAAAAAAAGAAACCTGACCAAGTGACTCCCTTAGTCACATGCCCTCTGTGGCTCCCCATTGCCCTTTAGGTAAAGCGTTAGTCCTTAACCCGTCATCACCAGCACCCTAAAATAATTTTCTCACTCTTGCCTCTGGATCTTTGCACATGCTGTCCCTGCCTGACCCCCTTTTGTCACACCCTTCCTCTTGTCCTTGGCTTTACCAACTCCTCTCTGTCATCTGGGCTTTGGTCAAGAAATCTCTTCCTCCAGGAAGCCTGCCCCGATGCCTCCGCTAAGATGAGTTGTGCCTGCTGTAGGCGCTCCCCAACAGCCCCTTCTCAGCCCCTACCACATCCCCTTGCGTCATACCTGCTGATGACTCTCCTCACTCCTCAGCCAGCGTGCAGTCCTGGGAGAGCTGCCACCGTGTCTCCACCTCTGTGTCACTGGTGCCTCACGCAGAGCCCGACACCCAGATGGCCCCTCAGAAACATCACTGAGAAGACGGGCAATCAAGTGCCAGCGTCCCCTCAGCTCCTCCCCTTCTTTTCCTCCCTGTTTCTCCTTCTCTGGCTCCACACTGGTGTCCTGCAGAGCTGAGAAGACAAGGTGGAACGAGTCACTGAATTTTCTAGTCAACAAGAAACCATTTTGCTTCAGCCTTGGCGACTACGAATTCTCTCAAGAAGGATGGCTTTGGTCAGAAAGGTCTCGCAGTCCTCTCTGCTGCCTTCCCTGGGCCAGCAGAGGCCTGCTAGCATTCGTGGACGGGCCCAGACCCTAGACCCAGGGGAAGGGTGTGATGGATCAGGCCGATGAGACTGAGCCCAGGACAAGGCTTAGAATGCTGGCCTCATCAGATGATTTAGCTTTTCACTAAAGCACCCACATTCACAGCTCTTCCGGCTTTTGGCTCTCTCTTACAAAAGGAAAAGAGTAGTAACACATTTTGCATAATTAAACGTCTTGAGTGGGTTTTGTCCAGGGCAAGGAAGAAGAACGGCCTGGTTCTTAAAGCTTTGCTCAGACATCAGCTGTTCTCCACCTTGAACAGGTGAAAATAGCTTTCAAAAAAAAAAAATCCTATCATAAAATCTGTGCCTCTTTATTGCAGAAAAAATAGAAAATACAAACAGAACACAAGAAAATAACCTATTTTCTGCAATATTTTGTAACTCATCCTTCCCATTTAATAGTTCAAGACCATTTTTTCCATGTCATTAAATATTCAGCAGCAAGGTGGTTTTCGTGCCAAGACCTGGCAGATCCCAGAGTGGCTGGACGCTTGCCCGAGCTGTCACACCCGGCAACTTGTGACCGCCCTGGTGGTTGGCTACTTCTGGAGGAAGGAAGAAGTTTCTAGCAAGCCAAATTCTGATCATTCTGGATTTAGCCTTTCAGAGCAGCGACCACCCCAGTTGGAAGCCACCCTTTCCGGAAGTACTCTCACGGTACAAGAGGCACAGATGTGTGTCAGCCTTGCCTCTGCTGGAGAGAGACAGGAGGCTGTGGCCCCCCGGGTGGAAGAAGGGGTCTCCCAACGACTTCTCTGGAGCCTCATCTTGAACAAGCCTTCAGTTTGTTTCAACTTCCTGCTCTAACCTAACAGCCCCAAGGTCCTTTATCAAGTCCTGGATTTGAATTTGCCGAGTAGCTCTGAGATCATGGGCAGGTCCTCTAGGCAGCAGCAGTAGCATCTACTCTTTGAAGACTTGGAAACCAGTGCCTCCCTTGTGATCTAGACGGGGGGGCAGAGAGAGGTGGTGTATGTTAGAGAACCGCAGAGCCCTACAGTCCCTAATCGGTGGCAGGAGGGTGCCCATCTTGAGTCCCTGGGTGCAGGTGGTAGGATGGCATGGAATGGTTTCCATTGTCTACACTCCACCGGAGCAGCATCCAAACCACAGTACCTACGGCCTCCTACTAACAAGCAGGGGCAGGGGCAGAGCTCTCCCTCAGCCCCCACCAACTCCTGTGGAGGAGGAACACTTCACTTTCATTTATCCTCTCCCCCAGTTCACACACACGAGTGAACCAAGGACAATGGCAAATCCAGTAAGTGGGGCGTGAGGTCATTGTTTGGGATGCGGCTAGTTTGACCTGTTCTCAGGGAGTACCAGACTCAGACAACATGAGAAAGATGACCCCGGGTGGTAGAAGTGGGGTCCCAACCCTGGTCAGAAAGTCAGCTCTTAGGTTTGTTGGAAGCCCATGAGTCCAGGTGGGCCATCCCCACCGTCCCACCAGGATCTCCTATCCCAGAAGCTTCCTGGAATAATGCTGGTCTGCCTCCTGACTTGACATTCTTGCTCCACACCTCATGGATCTACCTTTAAATCCTGGAAAGTCCATTTCCCAGGAAATAAGATACATTCTTCCTATAATACCTTTTTTTGAGCATTTATAGATGACCTCAGACAACCTCCTAGCCCTTCACATCTGCCCTCATGGTGATGCCCTGCCAACTCTTGCTTCATACACACAGTTTTCCCAATGGATTGTTGACCCTTAGATCCTGCTTGATAACTTGGGTTTGATGAAAGCCTTATTTTTCATCCTGTTCCCCTAGGGCCAGCGTCACCTGGCCAGAGCTGGTGTCATCTGACCAGAGCCTCTTTTTGCTACAAGTTGGTGCTGGAGGCATGGCATCTCTAGACTCCTCAGTAGTGAACTTAAGAGAAAGAAGGCCTCTCTTCCACCCGTGCTGTGGGTCAGGTGGGCCCTCAGCCATCGGCGCCGACCTCAGAATCCCTTCTTTCCTGAGGACTCTGCTCCTTACCTCCCAGCTGCGGCCACTCACCTGCTGCCTGGGAAGGAACTGTTGGACCATTGGACCACTGACTGACCACCAGCTCTTTCAGATCTCCACTGGCCCCAATACAAAGCAGGATAAGATCGGCCCTGTCCCCATGCCTGCTGTTACACTCACTGGGAGCTCATGGAGGAGCTCAACTGTCTGCATGTTTCCAAATAAAAACACTGAAGACCTCTTCAGGTCATTACCGAATCAGATGCTTCTGCCTGGCTTCCACAGGATACTGGCCACTCTCATTCTTCCCTCTGTTTAGATCTCTATAGATGGTGCTGGCCCAAAGAACCCGCTCCACACAGGTGAGAGGAGAAACCAAGGATGGCCGTCATGCTTCTTTATGCCCTGCTGCCTCCGGTGGGCAAGGAGGGCACCTGACTCCGGTGGCACGTGCTGACAGGGTGCCTCAGAGTGGTGTTAGTGAGCGTGCTGGGATGGGCGTTCTCTGGGCCTTATTTCCACACGGAGAACAAAACAAAACAAAGTTCTTTGTCCACAGCCTGGTTTCCAGAATGGTTTCATTATTCTAAATGTTCTCTCTCACTAGAGCCATGTAGGAAGTCCATCGTTCTTTTGCTGTCCTGTGGCCTGTGTCCATGACCCCTCTCTCACTTTTGTGCCTACGACAGGCATCCCTAATCAGTCGTAGAGGCTTTTCCTGATGAGCCGAATGCTACTTCAGAATCCTCAGCTTAGGACCCTGGGCAGCCATCACCAGTCAGTCAGAACTGGCGCACAGATTAATCTATTTGCCATTCTTAGCTTACATCCCAGTGGGGAAAACATCCTTAGATTATTTTTCTTTCCCCTTTGAAAGAGTCTTCCTTGATTTCTCTGTTCCCTCTCACTGCTGTACAAAAAAACAGTCCCCCAATGGTTCTCTTGGCTGATAAACTGCAGAATCACCACTTGGTGGCAGCAGAGGTCAAGAAAAGCCTCCACAGATGTCAGCTTCTGGTAGCTTGTGACCATGGTCCTCAGTGGTGAGAGCATCTGAACTCCATGACACTTCTCTTCTGGTTTTCTGGATCTCACCATCTCCCTTGTTGTGGTCCTTCTTCTTCTCTGTGGTGGAACGAACCTCAGACTAGGGAGAAATATACTTTAGGTTCCAGGTCCAGTCTGTCATTGGCTACCTTCCTTCGTGATCTTGGCAAACTTTTGGCCGCTTGGGGCCTCAGTTATCTCATCTGTAAAGTGGGAGAATTAACAATAGGTCCCCATTGTTTGCCTTCGAGGGCTTTAGTAAGAATCAAATGCAAACAGGGTTTTGTAAACTGTAAAATAAAACACACACACACACACACACACACACACACTCACAGTAACAGGAGTTAAAGAAGGCAGAGGAGGGGAATGCTTGTGTGATTTTTCTGGTTTCTGGTTTTGACTTGCCTTCTTGTCTGTGAGTCTGGGTTGTTTGCAACACAAGGTGGCTGCAGTGGTGTTCCTTGGGCCTCGTTTCTACAGCTCAAACTCTAAATGCTACAGATGCCTGGCCTCTAGGCCTTTAGACTTCCCCATGGACATCCAATGCCCATGCATAGATCAGGGTGGATACAGACACTGCTGTGGTTCCTCTGATGCCTGGGATGTCTGATTAGTCACCAATGCAAGCCCTCCAACCTGCTGACTTCCAGTGCCCCTTGCTGCCAGG